AAAATTTATTGGGTACGATTAAATTAGAATAAAATAAGCTAATTAAAGAGTTGGACTTAATTACCGTTTTGCCTTTGAGTGGGCCACTATCTCACACATCTTTAAGCCTTGTATACACTCATACACTTGAGCCAAAGACAACATTTCCTCAGCCATTTCCCCTCTCATTGCCGACCATAGAGAGAGAATTGGTTTTCATCTTGAGGAATTGCTTGGAAATTAAAGAAATTGTTGAGGTTGATTGTTAATTTGAGCTCCCTTCTTGAACTACAAGACTAAAGGTAGCTCCATTGTCTTCTTGTTCATGTTTTAAGTTGACTCTTGCATGGTTCATGTCATATTGATGGAGTGTAGAGCCAAGACATGGTTTAGATGTTGAATTGAAGTTTAATTGTTGCATGCATGTACATATGTTGAAGTTTTGAGGTTGTAGTCCATGTTTCCTCACATGCATGTCCATCCTTTGATCATACTCCATGAGTTCATCTTATTTTTGAAGGCTTGAGCTCTTTTGAAACAGCATTAAAGCTTTGAAAATGATTTAAGATCATGCATGTCATGTTTGAGGATTGTTCTTGTAACCATCTCGGTCAAAGAATCCAAAAATTGTTGTTGGTCAAACCTACCAACCTTCTTTGGCCAAGATAACCATCTCGGTCAAAGAATCCAAAAAGTGTTGGTCAAACCTGCCAACCTGCTTTGGCCGAGACAACCATCTTGGTCAAATAGTTCAAAAAATGGTGTTGGCCAAACCTGCCAACCTACTTTGGCCAAGATAACCATCTCAGCCAAAGAGTGCAAAAAATGGTGCTAATCAAACCTGCCAACCTTCTTTGGCCGAGATAACCATCTCAACTAAAGAGTGCAAAAAGTTAGGGAGTTGATCAATCCTGCCAACCCACTTTCCCCCTAGTTGAGCAAAGATTTTTTTTACAAAGAGTTGGTCAAACCTGCCACCCTACTTTGCCCCTGGTTGGGTAACGGTTTCTTACAGACCGAAGTAAATACGAGTATTGGAAAAAATTTCAAAAAAAACTATCTACTTGTTTTATTAAATACCAAACAAAAAGATAAGAAGATTACAATTACTACAAATAAAATATTTTGAGATTGGCCGTATTCCATGGCATTGGGATAGCTCGACCATCTACATCATCTAAGTGGTGAGTTCCTTTTCCTGCTAATCCCACCACTTTGTATGACCCCTCCAGTTGGATCTAAATTTTCTATCATTAGGCACCAAAGTATTTCTAATTACTTTGCATAGTACCCGATCTACAATCTTGAATTGCCTTGGATGCACCACCCTGTTATATTTTCTAGACAGTTCCTACTGATATGAGGCAATGTGGACTAGTACCCTTTCTCTTCGTTCTTCATCTAGATCTAGCTCCAAGGCTGTGGCCTCTCCATTCAAATCCAAAACAAATTTTTTGCTTCTAATAGTGGGAGGCCGAATTCTGGGGGGATTACTGCTTCCATGACATAGGCCCTGGCAAAAAGCGTTTCGCCAGTCGACCACCTAGGTGTAGTTCGGTAAGCCTATAAGACATAAGGAAGTTCCTCAGCCTATTTTCCTTTCACTTTTTCTAGCCTCATCTTCAGACCATCTAACATCACTTTGTTGGAGGCTTCGGCATGGCCGTTGGTTTGAGGGTATGCCGGCGTGGAGTTATAGGATTCGATCTTGTGCTCTTTGCAAAAACCCCTGAAGATTCTTCCATCAAATTGAGTGTCGTTGTCAGATATCAAGGCCTTGTGAATTCCAAATCGGGTTATGATGTTCTGCCAAACAAACTTATTGCCGTCTTTTTCTTTGATGAATGCAAGCGCCTCTACCTCCACCCATTTCGTGACGTAGTCTGTCACTGCAATGAAGAACTTTTTGTTACCCGACGCAGTTGGGAGTGGTCCCACTATGTCTAAACCGCACATTGCAAATGGCCAAGGGCTTGTCAAATGTAGGAACTCTCTGGCAGGTTAATGGATTTGATGCGCAAACTTCTCTACGTCTGCTTTTATGTATGGCTACCAATACCCTTGTGAGATAGCACGGTAGGCCAAAGATCTCCCCCCTTGGTGGCTTCTGCAAATGCCCTTGTGGACTTCGAACAAGAATGTCTCAACCTTGTTAGGATAGACACAATTCAAGTATGGTCCTATGAAGGACTTCTTGTATAGTGCTAGAGATGGGAAAAGCGAAAACCGTTGCGACTTTGCACAAATCTTGTTAGGCTCCTTCTTGTCTTCTGGAAAAATCCTATCTTTAAAGAACACAATGATGGGGTCCATTCAGGAGGGACCTAGCTCGGTGAAAAATACATCGGCTACTTCAGGTTCCTCGGTGCTCGGTCTTGGCAGGAAATCAACTAGCAAAGGGTATGGGATAAAAGTGTCTTCCATCAACGTAAAACTGGTCAGTTCATCTACCTTGCTATTTTCTTCTCAGCCGATTTGCTCTATCCTCACGACTTCAAATTTCCTGATCTCATTTCTAACTAGCTCCTGGTACTTGGCCATTCTGTCATCCTTTGCTTCATAGTCGCCAAATATTTGGTTGACTACCAATTGGGAGTCTCTATACACCATTAGCTCGGTGGCCTTCATCTGGTAGGCTATCTTCAAACCGGCTAACAATGCTTTGTACTCTGCTTTGTTATTGGACACTGGAAATCCAAGGGAGACTGCTTGTTCAATGGTTAGGCCATCTGGCGAGATGAGGACTATCCCTAGTTCGGCCCAATGGCTATTGGAAGTGCCATCCACAAAGAGCTTCCACATTTCCCCCACGAACAACTTCCAGCAAGTGGATGGGTCCGAAGATGTTTTGGGATCCAAGATTTGAGTTATTTCTTCCATGTCTTTGTATGCTGGTTGATTGATGTTTTCTTCATTTGGTTGCCCAGTTGCATGGCTTGCCTCCTCCTCTTCTCGCAATGCGCTGTTGGCCGTGGCGGACGATGCAACCACTATTAGGCTTTCATTGCATGGTTGATCAGCTTGATGTGGGAGCTACGCTATTCCCGCGGCACACCCCCCCCCCACGCTCGATTTCCTCGATCAAGTCAACCGAGCAAACGGAATGACTTCTTAGAGGAAACTCTGCCACAAAGTCTGCCAAAGCTTGGGCTTTTATTTCCATTCTAGGTTGGAACTCGATGTCGAACTATCCCAACTGCACTACCTACTTCAATATTTACCCAGAAAAGTCCACCCTTTCGAAACAAGGCCTTTAAGTGGAATGCTATTAATACGGTCATAGTGTGTATGGTAGTAGTGCAACAATTTTCTTAAAGCCATCATCAAAGCCAAGCCAAGCTTTTCTAATGGCAAGTTCCTCATTTTGGCGACCAACAATGTCTTGCTCACATAAAAGATGGGCAAGTGTTGTATTCTTTCAGCATGTACCAATACTACGCTAACTGCATGCTAGAAAATTGTTCCTCTCCTGGTACTGGGGTTACCAATAGGGGCAGAGAGATCAGGTACTCCTTCAAGCTCTCCAGAGCTCGATCGCATTCTTCAACCCACTTAAATTTGGCCTTTAGTGCCTGGAAGAACGGGCGACACCTGTTTGACAATCGACTTATGAATCGGTTTAGTGCGGTAGCTAAGCCCATAAAGTGCTGCAATTCCTTGACTGTGTTGGGCCTCTTTAGTTCTTGAATGGCCTTGATCCGAGAGGGATCGACTTCTATACTGCGGTTGGTTACTAGAAAGCCAAGAAATTTGCATGATCCCATGCCAAACGCGCATTTGGAGGCGTTCAGTCGCAGCTTGTGGGTCTTCAAAATTTGAAACATCTTAGCTAGGTCGTTGAGATGGTCTGCTTCATTCTTACTTTTGACCAGCATGTCGTCAATGTATGCCTCCATTGTTCTGCCAAACAATGGCTCGAACATTTTGGTGACCATTCGCAGAAACGTTGCCCTTGCATTTTTTAGGCCAAAGGGCATGACCTTGTAGCAATATAACCCCCTAGAAGTTGTGAAGGATATGACTTCCTAGTCTAGTTCATACATAGCAATCTGATGGTGTCCTCGATACACATCAAGAAAGCTAAGTCGGTTGTGAACTGTAGTTAGGTCCTCCAGTTGGTCTATTCGTGGTAGAGGAAAGCTATCTTTTGGGCACGCTTTGTTGACTATCTTATAGTCTACGCAAACGCGCCATTTTTCATTTTTCTAAGGCACCACCACTGTGCTGGAGATCCACTTGGGATAGTGAACTTCTCTTATTGCCCCTGGATCCAGTAGGTTTTCCATCTCTTCAGCCATTATCTTAGCGTGGTGAAGTACCGATCTGCGAGTTCACTGTATGATTGTTCTGGCGGTAGGATTGACATTAGGTTGATGGTAGATGAGGTTTGGGTTAATGCCAGGCATATCATACGAAGTCCAGGCAAACACTTTGAGATTAGAGATCAATAATCCCACGATCTCCTTTCTCTCGAGATTAGAGATCAAGAATCCCACGATCTCCTTTCTCTCAATGCTGGACAGAGATGAGCCACACAAGAAAAACTTCTCTGGGTCGTTTTCGTCTATTCTTGTCTCTACCAGCTCTTCCACTCCTTCTGTTTGGTAGCCTTGCTGACGTCCACGAACAACTTGTTGCTTTCTAGTTCCTCTACCATCTGCACGAATGCTTTGGCAACTCGGCTGCTGTTCGCAATCATGAAGCATTTTTGGACATAATTTGGCCTCCCAAGACCTCTTCAATTACTCCAGCTTCGTTAGGGAACGATATCACTTGGTGATAATTTGATGTTACGGCTTGCATGGCGTGTAACCATGCTCTCCCCAAAATGATATTATAAGTGGACGGTACCTTCAACACCCAGAACTCCACTTGTTTTGTCATCGTCACAGCTTTGACCCTTCCAAACATTCTGGCATCGAATTAAAGCCGACCAAAGGAGATGTCGTCGGTGCTAAGTCTTTGTCCTCCAATTTTATTTGCTTGAAGGTCTCATAGTTCATTATCTCACATAAGCTCCCCTAGTCAATCAAGATACGCTTTATATCAAAATTCTTGATGTGCAAAATATCCACTAGTGCGTCGTTGTGAGGGCTTTGCAACCTTGCTAAGTCCCTGTCAAAGAAAGTGATGACATTTTTTTCTACCCACTTCCCCTTTTTCATAGTTGGTTGGGCGCTTAGCACTTCCTCCATGTGCTCTGCTTTTTTGATCATGCCGCTCAGCTCGCACACTCGCTTAGGCTCGATGATCCCATGTATTATCTTAATGATGCCTTGAGGCAAACCATCGGCTGGCATTCCATCTGGCCCATTGTGGTCTTGAGTAGCTGGCCGAGGTCCCCCTTCAATGTATTTGTCCAAGTGGCCCGCGGCCACCAATTCTTCCAAACGTTGCCTCAAAGGCGTGCAGTCTTCAGTTTGGTACCCAACTTCATCGTGAAAGGTACACCTATACCTTTCCTCATAGCCCTTTTGTGCTTCTCCCAACTTGGCAGGCTGCCGAACGAAGGGTTCGTCGTGTATTTTGCTAAGAATTCTATAGATGGGCTTTTTGAACACCGTCATGATGGCGGTGTGTAGACGTCCCCGAACGTCCCAGGAGGATGAATCCCGTTTCGTTTGTTTGTGGGCTCGCTACAGTTCGGACTCAAATCGTCACGGTTCTTAATCTGAACCAAAGAGTCCAAATTCGGCAAATCGTTTTGGAAAACAGATTTTTAGAAAGAAGTGCCAAACATGGACTGCTTTGCCAGATACAGAGTCGCCCACCTAAATATTTTTTATGGGGGAATTTAGGAAACCCTTACTCATTTGCCTAAGGCCACGTGTCCGTCATCACCAAAGTTGCCTCGGCTCGGGAACTTGGGTACGATTGGGAAAGGTCAGCTATGAGCACCCCCTCTTGCTCGATCCGAAGATCGACCTCTACTAACCATGATATCTTGTTTTGAAAACATTATGCGTTCTTATACTGGTTATTAGCCTAGAATTACTATGTGATGTGTACATCAAAACAAATATAGACTAAATTGTCTAAGTCAGAACAAAGCATTGCATTTCCGTTTGTTTGGAAAATGGTTTGAATTTTGCTACTCGCGAGTAGGCTAAAATACGGATTTCGATGAATTATCCCAATTCAAACAATCCAACCTTCACCCACAGGCATTCATGCAGTTATATCACATAAGCATATAGCCACATGGTAAGCATGCTATCATGTTAATATTCACACTCATGCGAGATGCTAAAGCATAAATACTTACAGAGTACTCCAAGCCAAAACAGAAACTAGTTAGTAATCATATGCATGATCCTAGTTCATGTTTAAAATGGCTAATGCAACACAAGCGAAGATACAATCTAGACAGGCTCGGCTATCTGAAACATGACATGTGAAATGCAACAGATAACACGTATTCAATTTGGAATTGAAATACAATGCAGTTAGCATGATGCGCCGAGCCCGGTGCATGCAAGACAAATGTATGAATGCACGCATGCATAACATGAGGTATGCTAATTTAAATATGTCCTACTACTAACCATCGAAAGCTAGTAAATAAAAGGGAAGAAAGAAGTGGGGGTTGGAAAACATACACACACTCACACACACTTATTACACAATTGTGCCCTCACTCGGAGGGTCCGAATAAATAATACAAACCAAATAAATAATTAACTACTCTAGCTAATTAAATATTACAAACCCTTAACCAATTAATCAACTTAATTAAGCTAATGAAGCAGTAAAACAGCCCCGGGAAGAGGGATGAATGTATGCTCGGATTGGCTTCGCTCGGAAACCCAATGCTATGCCACTGTTGCTTCTGTTTACACTGTTTTGCACCTCTGAAAACTGCATAAGTCTCCAGGATGCTTCTGAACCACCTTCTGAGAACTGTGGAAGGTCACCGGCCAAGAGTAAAGGCCACCAGCCATCTATCGACCATGGACATTGATATCGGCCACAAATGTTTGGTCGATCGGCACTGTAGATGGCCGATCGGCCATGTCTTCCTGCAGAAACCTGTTTTGACAGCAGCAAAGGACAGACAAGGCATGGCAATGCATTTCAAAGCAAATGTTTGCACAACCACACTCCATATCATGTTTAAGACTCAAGGGAGTATGGTGCTCGACCCTCGGACCACCAATCACGCATTTCTATGCATGATGGCCCAAGAGGCCAAGTTGTGCATTTTGATTTCAAATGACATGCAAACCAAATAAACACATAAAGCCCAACCTCTATCATACTCAATTCAAGAGGCAAAGCATGCATGCTCTATGCAATGCAACCTAGGCATGGAGGCTAAGTATGCAACATGAACATGAGGGAAAGTATGCAAGTTATCAAACATGCAAAGTGTAATCTTAACCATGCAAGCATGCAAGATGCAACATGGACAACATGTTAAGTACAATTCATGCCAAATGCATTACAACCTAAGCATGCAAAGGTGCAATGTATCAAACATGCAAAATGCAATGTAACAAGCATGGAACAAGGCCAAATATGCAACAACACATAGGGCAAGCATGCAACAACATGCTAGAATGGTCTTAAACTAATTTGGGCAGCTCTCAACTAGGCCCAAAACAGTGGCCAAATGGTAAGGAAATGGGGGCCAAGTACACATACAATCATGCATGCAAATGGACCAACACTTAAGCATAAAGGAGGGACTCTTAAGCACACTTAAAAGAGATGAACATGGACACATGGCATGCATACTAAGCTCTGAAATTATGTTAGAAAAGGTGCCAAACCAACTAAACAAATCAAGCAAAACATGCTCATGGCTTTACACACTCAAGGCCTACAAGCTAGAATGCAAAGAGACTATAAAAAACATGTTGAAATTCATGGCATTACATGACAAGTATGCTAAGCATGCGTGGTGTGTCTAAACCAATTAAAAATTGTACTAAAACATGGCAAAATACTACCAAATACCTACTGAAACATGGCCAACATGGTCTCAAAAAAGTTGCTCACACATAAGGCTTAAATGGCACATATTGAAGACAACAAGGAGAGGGGGTGGCCCTCTCCTTCTTGGGATCTTAAACCACCATCCTCACCACTTAAATCCCTCAAGATATCAGTGGTGAGGAGGCCCAAACAAGGTGGTCCCGAAGCTCACCAAAAATAGCACAAAATGGGGCCAAACAAGGCCTAAGGGGGGATAAACAACCCCAAACACAAAAGTGATCTTAAAAAAACTTAAAAAGGAGCTCAAAATAAGAGTTTTTTCAGTTTATGACAAAGCTCAAAAATGCTTCTAAGTATGGCTAAAAGATGAAGCAAAATAAAGACCACAAGAGGGTAAAGTGTGTTACCCTTGTAGCCAAAAGGGGACAGCAGCTTCTTGGTCTAGAAAACTAGTCCCTTAGCCTCTGAAAATGGCCTCCAAGATGCTTAGAGTGATGGTGGATGTGTTAGGATAGGAGGTGGTGTGTAATGGTGCCAAGAACTAAGCACTTTGAAGCTAAAATGTAGAGATATAGGGAGAGATGTATGTTTTTTTTACTAAGACAAATTTCTTGGAACCCTTGCAATGGAAGAGGAGCTCTTCTTTTATAGAGGAAGAAGGGTCCAAGCTTCTCTTAGAAGCTTGGAGCAAAGGGGCCAAGGTTCTCTTAGAAGCTTGGGGCAAAAAGGGCCAAGAAGGCCAAGCTTCCTGGAGAAGCTAGGCAAAAGGGCCAAGCTTCTTGGAGAAGCTAGACAAAGGGTTCAAGCTTCTTGGAGAAGCTAAACAAAGATTCAAAAGGTTCAAGCTTCCTCAAGAAGCTAAAACTAAGGGTTCAAAAGGTTCAAGCTTCCTCATGAAGCAAGAACCAAGGGTTCAAAAGGTTCAAACCCCCTCAAGAAAAGGTCTTGGCCAGAAAAAGTGGCCGATTGACCAAAATCAGTGGCCAGCCAACCAAACACAATGCCGACCGACCATCAATAGTGCCGACCGGCCATCACCAATGGCCGGTGGCAAGGAAACAAGGCCGGTGGCCTCAAGCCATGGTCGGTGAGGTGTGGGGATGGCCTACAAGCTATTTCCCACCCTCAGAAGCAAAACAACAAGTGTTTGATGCAAAACCAAACACAAAACAAACAAGTCGAGAGATCTTGAGGTAAGGCGCGTAGCCGAAACCTCCGAGAACTCAAGACGAACACAAACAAGGGTAATCATCGATTGTTCAAATGATGACGTCCAAGTCTTAAGGACGGTCAAAAATGGGGTGTCTACACGGTGCGAACCCTCAACCTCCTTGCCTTGGGGTCTTCACCGTTTGGCCATGCGTTGCGATTGCTTTTGTTTGGTTGGTCCTCCCTACCGACCGTGTTAACCTTCCCTATAGGTTTCTTGTCCGACATCGCTGTTGTGTCAAACTTTACTTTAGCGCGGGCACTATCTTCTTCGACCCTGATGTGCTGGTGCACTCTTCTCCATCAGGGTTTCCATAGTGAGAGGCGACGTTGTCATTGAATCCCTCAACTTATGGTCTACTAGTAAACCATGCTTGTATTACGCGATAGCTAGGTTTGTGGGACAATCTCTGATCTGATTGAAAGTCTCCCAATACTTGTTGTTGTAAGACTTCAGTGTTTCTTTCTCGCTCATGTCGATGGAGAGCAGCTGATCTATCTCTACCCGCGTCTTGGTGTTTGTCTTAAAGCTTGTGACAAACGCCTCTACAAATTCCACCCATGAAGCTATGCTGTCTTTTGATAATTTTTCAAACCAAGTCAAGCCTAATTCGCTAAGGCTTGATGGGAACAAAATACACATCAGAGCCTCATTTCTCCGATGTATGGCCATAACTTGGCGAAAGTGCATGTAGGGATCTGACTTCCCCTCGTAGACCATGAATTTAGGCTGGTTGAAGCCCAAGGGTAGTGTGGTGTGTTCTCTATCGTCAGAACGAACAGCAAGCTCTACAACCTTGCTAACGCTTTGTCTACTTGTTCGTAAGCAAGGCGCGACATTGGCATTCTAACCTCAACACTTCCATGCGTCCTAGGAGCTAGCCACTACAAAGCAGAGACTATTTGGGGGTCATGTGCCAGGGCATCTTCCTTTCTTGGAGCCCTTTCTTCTAGAACGGTCCATAGTTTTGCTGATCTAGGCAACTCGGTGTGTCGACAGGTGGTTTAGTGTGTATATGAGGGTCGATAACTGCTTCCCTCCTTGTAATACCTTTCAGTCCTCGTTCTCTCAAACCTGGAGTAACGAGTCCTGGAAGTTGTTGTGTAGACACCCTAATTTTTGTAATTACCTTTAAATCCCTAACCTTGAGTTTCTTTTAATAAAGCCCTTGAATTTTCACTTAATTGTGTTTTAAACCCTAGAATCGAAAAGAATTGCGGATTAATCTGAGTAAACCCTAATTGATCTCGATAGAATAATAATCACTTGGAGCCCTTTCTTCTAGAACGGTCCATAGTTTTGCTGATCTAGGCAACTCGGTGTGTCGACAGGTGGTTTGGTGTGTATATGAGGGTCGATAACTACTTCCCTCCTTGTAATACCTTTCAGTCCTCGTTCTTTCAAACCTGGAGTAACGAG